GGGGGGCTGCTTTGTTTTTCGTGTTCAGTTCTGTTTGTTGTATTTTCGTCCAGTGCAATGTTCGGTGACATACTTGTAGATGGCTGTCAACAACTTTTTTTTAGTTACGTAGCTGCAAAGTTTTGATTAGCGCTCATATGACCTTATTATGCAGTTGTGAGCGCCGTAAAACCCTCTACTATAAAAAAAAAAAATAAACATTTTTAAATCATAGGATAGGCCTATAATTCATTACCCGTACGGTACGAACAATGTCATACCTAATTTTATATCCATGATTTAAAACAAAGTTGGCTTTCTTTTAGTTTAGTTTGTTTGTTTGTTTTTGTTTTCGTTTGTTTTGTTTTGTTTTGTTTTTGTGCATTTCTCGAAAGAAGCACAAATCACCAAGATAACCTTTCGCTGACCTCTCGTTTGCGCGTGATATGTGAACTAGACTGTAGAACTAAGTGAAAAGATAAGGAATGCCACATGTACACCGGAATTTAACACTACGTTACCTCAGAATTAGAAAGTTCTGTCTGACATTTCTGGCCGTTTTGAGTTACTTATAAGGCCTTGAGGTCAGAAACCAAATGTTCCATCTGCTGTATCAAAATCGTAAGATTGTTTGTAGTCGCTATCAAGATATTCAAAGAATTGCAATTTTTTTTAAAAGTTTGACTTGATGTGAAGCTAAAATTCTTTTGACATAAAATTTCTCAAAACTAGGTAGTGTGCAGATAGAACTGGGTAATTCTGAGGTAGCCACTAGCTAGCTCTACTATCTGACTTTGGCAGAAACAGATCAGGTCGAAAGTAAAAAAGGAACTGTTTTGCAGCATACTTAAGTATTATTTTATTTCGAGCTACCATTTTTTGAGTGATTGCTCTGAAAAAAAAAGTATTCGACAGGAAATTACGACATGTTGTTAACAGCCGTTAAAATAACGACCACAACATCGTAATTAAAGTGATGATGATGATGATGATGATGATGATGATGATGATGATGATGATGATGATGATGATGATGATGATGATGATGATGATGATGATGATGATGATGATGATGATGATGATGATAATGATGATGATGATGATGGTGTATATGATGATGATGATGGAGATATTTCCGATATTGTCCAAACCACACCAATACGTAACTTATAGTGAACACTTTGTTGCTGTGGCGTCATCACCCATTTATTTTTCTCAAATACTATAACTGTGAAATATATATTTTTTGGGGAAATACAACAAGGTCTTAACTGTTTTAATACCTTCTTTATACAATGATGATGATGATGATGATGATGATGATGATGATGATGATGATGATGATGATGATGATGATGATGATGATGATGATGATGATGATGATGATGATGATGATGATGATGATGGTGGTGGTGATGATGAATAGCAGCAATATCATTACTATTATCATCATCATTTATTTATTTATTTATTTATTTATTTATTTATTTATTTATTTATTTATTTATTTATTTATTATTAAATCTGAGTCAGGAGAACGTTTGGGAATAAAAAAGATTTACAGGGGAAAAAAAGAAGACCATGGTCCACAGCTGACGGATTTTGTCTGCGTGCTGCTAATTTAAGCTTCAGACCGGATTTTGTTGGCAATTTTTTATGATCATAACCTCCCCCTTCCACCTCAAAAACAAAACCAATAAAAAAAAAAAAGATTCATAAAAGTTCTACACTGTTTTTGCTTTAATTCTAATTAAAATAAAGTAGCATTTTCATATGTCTTTAGTTTTTTGAGAGTTTTTTTTCGTCTGAAGATAAATATTTTAAAATCCACCATTTTAAAAAAACGACACTGTCGCCTGAGAACAATGTTGTCCAAACTGCATTTAAGTTAAGAGTGCTCTTTTGACAAAATAGTTGCAAGTAGTGGTATTGAGTACTCCGCCTTATCTCACGATGTGTGAGTGTATCTCTATGTGTGGGTCGCTATTTGTAGTCTTTTCGTGTTTTCTTATGGGGAGATGAATTATAATCTATAAATATGTGTACGTTTGGACTTCGCCTGAGTAAACTAACGACTCGTCTTTGTCTTTTGAGGGGCGTCCTTGTAAATTTAATGCTGCTGCCCATTTCACAACCAGTAAACCTTCGCTGTCTAGTAGAATATGTTTAAAAAAAGAGTGGCATGGTATAAAATGAGGTAATATAAGTAGAGGACAACCTAAAAAATAACTAAGAGAGAACTTGAGCAGTTTGGGTGACGGGAGAAAACCAGGACGGTAAAGATTATTTAAAAGAGCGTTCAAGCGAAGAAATAAGTGACGAGCAATAATTGCAGATGTCTGTCTCGGATCTGGAACTTGAAGGGGAAAAAAGAGGGAATTACAGTGGTCAATAATAATATTGTATACGCTCTACTAAGCAATACAGACTTGATGAAGAGCGACAACTGCTTCTCCTTTATGCTGTTCCTTCAGATGAGGCAAGCCAATGATTATAATAATATATTTTTTTAAATACTGAGGCTAACAGACACGTCTTTCCCAGCTCCTGTGAGTTATGTAACAACATTTCCGCTCACTGGCAGTATCGTGCGGCCAAGGAGGCTATGAACAAAAACATTCTAAAGTTTTTGCGTGTGGCCAACATTACTGCAGATAGCTGAATCCTCGTCGACATGCTGGCGAGACGTGAAAACCTTTCTTTACAGGGTAGACGTTGAGGGAGGGTTTTCTGGCGGAACGAGGCAGTCATTAGTCTAGTCGCTAGGCTATACCGGACCCGTAGTTGTGAACTTGTGGGTTTGAGGGTTCGAAGCTCAACTCGGTCCGACGTTGTATATTATTATCCATGTGTCAACTTAAAGACTTGATGTTGACTTGATATTATGACACATGTACACACACACA